CTGTCCTACTATGACCCAAGCAGAGAGGTAATCCTGCAAGTTGACGCCTCCAAACACGGACTAGGAGCAGTCCTGTTGCAAGACAACAAGCCAGTCGCGTATGCATCAAAATCGCTCAACGCAACCGAAGTCAACTATGCCCAGATCGAGAAGGAGCTGTACGCCATTGTGTTCGGGTGTGAGAGATTCCACCAATACATCTATGGCCGCAAAGTAACAGTTGAGTCAGACCATAAGCCGTTGGAAGCGATCACCAGGAAGCCGCTGAGCTCGGCACCAGCCAGGCTGCAGCGAATGCTGTTAAGGCTGCAGAAGTACGACCTGGCAGTACAGCACCGACCCGGCAAGGAGATACCGGTAGCTGACGCCCTGAGCAGGCTATACCTGGAGGAGACTGACAATATGTCAGAAACGTTCGAGGCACAAGTACACATGGTAACAAGCAACCTACCTGTGTCCTCACAGAGGATGGAAGAGGTCCGCCAAGAAACAGGAAGAGACCCCCAGCTGATCATCCTCATGGACACCATCCGAGAAGGATGGCCGGACACAAAACAACAGTGTGACACCCGAGTGACAGAATACTGGAATCACAGGGACGAGCTAACCATTGAGAAAGGTGTCATCTTCAAGGGACAAAAGATCGTGATCCCGAAGGCCATGAGAAGAGAAATGCTGGACATCTTGCACGAAGGCCACCTTGGGCAAGAGAAAACGAAGGGAAGAGCCAGAGATATCCTCTTCTGGCCTGGCATGAATGGTCAGATTGACGAAAAAGTCCAGAAATGTGTGACATGTCAAGAGAACCGTGCGTCCAATGCGAAGGAGCCCTTGATGCCACACCCAACACCACAGAGGCCGTGGCAGAAAGTGGCCACAGATCTGTTCCACTGGGACGGGAAGGACTATGTGCTGGTGGTAGATTACTATAGCAAATACGTCGAGCTCCACAAGCTCGAGCACACCCGGTCCACCGACGTCATCACCAAGCTCAAGAAAACTTTTGCGACACACTGGATACCAGAAGAGGTCATCAGCGACAATGGACCTCAGTACGCGAGCGAAGAGTTCAGGAAGTTCGCGCAAGCATGGTCATTCAAGCACACTACGTCGAGCCCGCGCTATCCGCAGTCAAACGGATTGGCCGAAAGAACAGTGCAGACCATGAAGCACCTGTTAGAGAAGACGCGAGCAGATAACAAGGAACCGTTCCTCGCGCTGCTGGAGTATCGAAATACTCCAGTAAACAATGCTCTGCCGTCGCCGGCACAACTCCTGATGGGCCGAAGACTGCGTACGCGCTTGCCGACGACCAACGAGCAACTGATGCCGCAGTCAGTCAATCACAAAGATGTGCGGCAGCAGCTACAAGACAAACAACAACGTCAGAAGACCTGGTATGACAGGAATGCCAGAAGTCTTCCTACGCTGACACCAGGCAACGCCGTCCGAATGCAACAGACAAACGGCAAGTGGACGCCCGCCACCGTAGTCAGCAAATGCGACCAACCGAGGTCGTACATCATCCAGACGCCTGAAGGTGCACAATACAGGCGCAACAACAAGCATCTCCTGAAGACGAACGCCTACCCCCGCAGCGGTAGCCCAACACCAGCGTCAGGAGACAACACTCCAGCCATGACGGTGACATCCAACGCACCGGCAGAGACTACACCGCCCGTGACAACTACACCAGTGGTGACAGCACCGCCCACTGCAGCCTACGTCACGAGATCGGGACGCACCGTCAACCCTCCAACAAAGCTGGATTTGTGATTAATGCAATGGACAATGAACACGGACAATGAGCACGGACAATGAACTGCTAGTTTAAAGAGTAAAGTAGCGTTAATGCATGCACCTTTTAACTAAGTAGCGTTAATGCATGCACCTTTTAACTAACTTTTTTTTTCTAAAGAAAGGGGGATGTAGCGATATTAAAGTCAAGCCAGGAAACACCCCTCTCTTACTACATGTATTAGACTAGTCCAAGTGGTCTCAAGTAACTGGTGACCCTACCACGCTCTCTTTCTGCCGGGACCCCAGATTGAGCAGACGCCTTTTGTACCTCAGAGTTACTAACCCTCCTGAATAAAGACCATCCAATGGTATCGACCCGCCTCGTTCCAAGTTCAAGATCAAGAACATAACAGGAACAAAAATTCGGAGGTCTCATACCACCATGAAATATGTAGAGTATAGGTAAATGTTTTTGTGGGATTTGTGTCATTGATTATGGAAATTAGGTCGTAATCATCATAATCTAGTTTAATCTATGGTTTTCTAAAACTCAAATTACAATATCTTGCCTGTGAAATTCCTTTCCTTTAGCAATATTTGAATTCAACACGTGCTCATTAATTACGCAAATGGCCTCTATATGAATATATGCATAATAATGTTAACCTGTAAGTACACATGTACTTAACTTTACTTACACAAGGCGTTATGCTGGCTACAAATAGACAGACAGATAGACATACAGACAGACACACAGACAGACTGACAGACACCACAAAAACAATACCTCCATTTTTCATGGAGGTAATAAATCACAAAATTCAAGGATCAAGAACGGTTAAGTCTGAGAATCGGGCATTAAAATCTACACAATATGGCAGTACTAACAGGAGAATATAAAATCTAAGTTTTTCATTACTTAGTATAGCCTGGCATCGAATGCTCCCCGGTCCCCGTTGGGCTACTGTGCACGGGGATACCTCTACGGTGCTGGAAATACTGTCCACCCGCCCTGTTCCATTAGTGCTTGTCAGACTATGTATTTTACGGGTCATTTTAGGACAGCAATAACTAGAAAGGCGAGCTGGAAAATCTAACATGTCAAGGGATGCCTATGCTTAGTATGGCTGGGACCTGTAAAATCTCTTTCTTGTTTGATAGCATGGATAACTTCAGGTATAATTTCTAGCTGAAAGATAGGGTCTTTTAGCTAATGAAACCAATTGAGGGACTATCCAAAATATTGGAAGGTGTTCCAAAGGTTTGAGACTAAGAAGGTGAAAGTCATTATCTTGTAAACAATTATATAACGACGTTGGTTGAACACAATGAGCCGTGCGTTTGCTAGCATAGATGACATTGTATAACTTAATATTTTTCGATATAAGCTAAAGAAAATAGTAGTAGAATAAGAAACATATAGGAAAGTACACAAACATGTCAGGATATAGATATTTCGGCACGTTTTAAAGGTACCTTCTGCTGTCATAAAAAGGCAAATAGCTACATGGACAAATCAATACAAAACAGCCCAGAAGTAATTGTCCTAAAACACATTAGTCTAACAGTTCTTACAGAGTAGAGTAGATTTCAACATTTGTGTGCACACATTCAACCTCCCCAACAAAGTAGCGTCATACTCACCTAGTTTTCTCAGCTGAGTCGGTAGAAGGTTTTCTTCAAGGTTTACGCAAAGCCAACGGAATGGTTCTCTTTTCAAGAACTCGATCGCCACAAAAGACAACGTTTGAGCCGCGTTCAGGGCTATTAATCTCCTTGGTTCAGGGTAGATTTTACAAAACAAACTGGATTTCAACAAACCAGTTTGTTCTCTCAGAAATCATGATGTTGGCTTGTAGATAGGAGAACTCTTTCAACACGTCTGGTCCCAGAAACAACATACAACTGATGGCTGTAGTTCTGTGTGCCTTAAACAAAGAAGGGTGGAAGTCCGCCCTCTTATTTTTACTGTGGCTCTGCCTTTTGTCATAATTGGCTACCAAAGGGGCCACTCGTATGACGGCCAACGGTGACTGGTGACTAATATAAGTGCCTTGCCCCCAAAGGAATCTGATTGGAGTTTAGTCAGTCCCACCATTTGGTAGTTAACTTCTACCCAGGCCAACAGGTGCCAAATTAATCGTTTGTCATCACCCCCCCCCAACAAAGCACACAGCCTGTCTGATTTGTATGGGGTTAAAGACCTGCTTTAATGCTGAGGTCCCAATTCCAACTCAGGGCCTTGCCGGGCAGTCTTATGCAACGAAAAGTTTAAGATGATAGCAAAACACACACACACACACACACACACACACACACACACAAAATCATAGTCCTATTTGTGTCCAATTTTTATATGAATCGTTTATTTTTCGTCCACGCAAACAGCCCGAGCGGGCCCCGGCTTGGTAACCTCGGTGTAAGTAAAGGTCAAGGGCCGCTAGATCGGGAATTAACTCTATAAGGTGGTTCGCGCGTGGGTTTATTCAGAGAAGATAACTAGAAATAGAATGTTAGACACCATGCCTCCTGTTCATGTATCACATTTCCTATCTCTGTCACATACACATACGTAAATAAGCAATAGAGAGATGGAACCTTTGATTGGACTGAAACTTTGATTGAACAAAATGTTGGCACATGGTTTTATACATGTACCATCCTTCAATTCAATACATTGTTTCTCTGTCAGTTTGCAATTATCTCTTGGACCGACCATGCAATAAAGATCTTTCATTCATCTCCAGGTAGATCATACAGTGGTATGACATTATACAATCGGCCAAGTTTCCATTTAAAGCCGAAGCCTAAAGTTCTGCTTGGAGAGTAGTTCCGCACCTCCTCCACCCATCCAGTAAATTTTAACATCTATTTTACTTAGAAGCAATGTAATGGAGATTACTGGCTGTACCACATACAATGATAATCATCCAATCATCACCCAGGCAATTACACTGTCTTGTTTTAAATCTTAAAGCAAATTATTGGGTTCTACAAGGGTTTAGGGTCACATTTTTGTTAATGACGCCCCTTATGCTTTTGATCGCGTCAATTATTGGTCATTGTTTAGAAAACCGTTTGACAGAAATATTCCGCTGT